CCCTGAATTTGAATACTTTATGCATTGGAAAGTGTCTTTGTTTCAATTTGCGAGTATTGTATAAATGAGTGAGTTGGATAATCGCTCTTATACAATACTCACACAATTAATCTTGCGTGTTGTTTGATGTGCATGTGTATCTAATTATTGTTGTAGTTGTGTCCATAGTAATTTGAAATATGTTAAGGTGTTGTGGCCCATGGCTGGGTGTCTGTGTAGCTTTTTCTAACCTACCAACATGTATTTCTTATTGCCATGTGTGTTTTTTGTGGGGATTAACTTACACTCTGTTAAGATTTTTCACTTACAGTACTACTGAAAATCTTTTTATAGAAATTAAATTATGATTTTTTTAGAAGCATATTACTTATTAGTTTTCAGAGACGCTTCTAGTAGTTAGTAATGTTGGATCAATATTAAATTTTATAAACTTCTTATGCATCATATAAACTTTGAACACTGGACTATGTGAGAATTTCAGTCAATCAGCAGTTGTTCATTTATGCAACATTAATTTTGATTTCGATGGTGTCAATGGATTTTAGCCCATTCCATCAATGCATGATTACTTTTCTGTTGTATTACAGGAAGTAGATAACTTGACTAGAGAAAAGATTCAAGATGAACTCAAGGAACTTAAAGAAGCACATGCTGCAGATGAGGGTGCATTTCTTTTGTTTTCTATTCTTATTAGTATTTATTTGCCACATTTGCCTCATTTTAAAAAAAAGCATTAATGTTGGGTCTGTATGAATCTAAAGTTTATCTAAATTAGTTTTTTTATTTTATTTTTTTTTATTTTCTACTTTCTTGCTCCTACCTGTTGTATTTGGTTGGGAAGTTTTCCAGAGATGACAAGAATATGGATGATTTGCAGTTGTATTCCTGATATAACAATACTATTCCTAATTTGTTGTTTGTTTGTTTCTTTTCTTGTTGCAGAGTTTCCTGATGAAGTGGATACACCATTGGATGTTCCTGCTAGGAAGCGGTTTGCAAAATACAGGGGACTGAAGTCCTTTAGGACTTCATCGTGGGATTCTAAAGTATGTGTCCTTTGGAGACTCTTTATAGTAAATCATTGTCTCTATCCCCCCAAAACAAAATCTGACATTTCTAATAATATCAGGAATCTCTACCCCAAGATTATGCCAAAATTTTTGAATTCGATAATTTTAGAAGAACACAAAAACATGTTCTTGCCAAAGCTTTAGAACTGGATCTAGAAAACCTGGAGGACTGTATTCCAGTTGGGTCGTATGCTAGGTTGCATATCATGGGAGTGCCCAGTGGTGTTGCTTCAAAGTTATCTTTGCTTGCCAAGACTATCCCAGTTACAGCATGTGGCCTGTTGAAACATGAGTCCAAAGTATCTGTCCTTCATTTCAGGTTCTTTTCACTGTCTGTGCTTTTAGTGCGCTTATTATTAGTTATCCATTCTGAACATTCAAAAGATGTGTCTTGAACTGAAGTTAGTCACATGTGTTGTGTAGTGTGAAGAAGCATGAAACATATGATGCACCCATCAAATCTAAGGAAGAGTTAATTTTTCATGTTGGGTTTCGGCAATTTGTTGGCAGGTATGTTGTTCAATTTGAAAGACCTTGGTATATAATAGGTATCTTCAGGGAAAAATATTTTGGTAATTGTAAAAAAATTTCAGGCCAATTTTCTCTAGTGAGTTCATAAATACAGACAAGAACAAGATGGAGAGGTTTCTCCATGCTGGGCGTTTTTCAGTTGCTTCTATCTATGCACCAATTTCTTTTCCTCCTCTTCCTTCGATAATCCTAAAGAGAGCTGGAGAGGATGCTGCACCTGCAGTGGCTGCCGTTGGCTCATTGAAAACTGTTGATCCAGATAGGATAATTCTTAAGCGAGTTATTTTGACAGGGTATGTTTATTGATATTTTTCTAGACCCACCTTTTGAAAACCTTGCATATTACTCTACTTTGTTGATTTTGTGGTCTCACTTATTGACATCTTTCCAATACCAATGCCAATAAGAAATTTCAGCATTGTATGGTCTCATGGACAATTGAATTTAATTTATTTTTTGCTCATTTAAAGTTTTTAAATGTTTTGTGGTGCAGTTACCCCCAAAGAGTATCAAAACGTAAAGCTTCTGTGAGACACATGTTCTATAATCCAGAGGATGTAAAATGGTTTAAGGTGAAGATATGTTACCCAGTGTCTTTAAAAGTTACTTGAATGATAGTGAAGTTTATTCCCTGAATTTGGTTTCCATTCGCACCGTAATGATATTTTTAATATGGGTGGTGATTGCAGCCTGTCGAGCTTTATACCAAACGTGGTCTTCGTGGGCGAATTAAAGAACCTGTTGGTACACATGGTATGTTGTTCACGTACAAACCTTTACCATCAAACTTATCTTACCATAAAAATTTTGACAGCTAGTTGTTTTATGGTATGTTGGTGATTATATGTTGCTTGGTCAAAGACATGCATGTGCATTCCATGATCTTGTAGTGACCTATTGATTTGAGCTGTTTTCTGCAATATTCTTCTGGAAATTTCTTATTCTGAAATAGAATTTGATATTCCACCAACTTGAGCATTTCCCTACCTCACTATCTTATTATGCTTACCCTAGTAATGAATATTGATGGCAAACTTATCTTTGAAAGAGCAATCTACTAGTACTAACAACTATTGTAATGTAAACGCAATTTTATCCATTTCTTCAGTCAACAACTAGTGGTGGGAGGAGGGGTTAAAGTAGTATGCATAAAGCCTTAGATTCAAATCTTATTACTGTCATTGTAATTCATACCGATTCAAAAATCGAGTTCTAGCACAAGTGGTTCTGCTGAAGCTTTTTAATTTTGACCATAGAATATTGGAGTTGTGCACTCTTGTTTGAGAGTTCTGCTGGAAGTATTGAGGAGGGGTTAAAAGTAGTATGCACAAATGTTTGATAAGTGATTTGACAGAACTGATGATTATGAATTAATTATTATTTTGTGGATAAAGGTCTCGGTACATTATAATTTGTTTTCTGGTTGGTGAATATTATGCTCTCATCTTATTTTTCTGCTTGTTGCCCATCAGTATTCAAATATGTGGGGTACATGATATTATTTATCAATTCGATTTATTGTTGCTCAGGAACAATGAAATGCCTTCTCAACGGGGTTCTTGAACAGCGTGATACTGTATGTATGAATTTATACAAACGTGCATACCCGAAGTGGCCAATCCGACATTTTCCTCTATCGGAGTAATGATGGAATGGTCGTTGGATTCTTTTATCGGTGAAGGAATTCAGAAGTGTATATTGATTGGGAATGAAGCTCTGGTTCAGATTGACTTCCTCGTATGGAGGATGCAGTTTTGTGACAATTTATTTTTCCTTTTTTAACACCGCCAGTTCCCCTTTGCCCCTTGTGCACACTAGTGAGATGTAATAGTTATCACATGTCAGATAAAGGGTGCTTGCGGAAATTTGTTAAATTTTTGTTAGTCTTGCAGACTTTAAATGGCTTCAGTGTGTATTGATGATTCTTAGAATACTCAACAATGTTATCCACCCTATTATCAATATTCATATTTAAATACATATGATCAATATGCAAGTGACCAAATCCTTATTATCAACAAAGAAATGTTGGGTTTTTCTCGTCTTTTAACAAGGAGCTACACAAAATGATATGGTAGCCAAAGTGAAAATAAAGGTTATCATCTTCCACGTCATTCAACCACGTTGAAACAAATATCGTTGTACTTTTATCTAATATTGCTATTATTAGATTTCCATTGTGTTTATTTATTTATTTATTTTGACAACCTGGATTTACATTGTGTTGTTTCATCTATTTGGTTAATTTTCTTGTTTTAAAGCATCAACGCGGTTACGTTATAAACATTGTATTTACTAGCCATTATTTATAAATGCATTGATGCTTATGCTTCTACATGAAAACAATGTTCATTTTGTGATGCAGAAGTTTTGTAACAATGTATGATCAATATGTGATTTTGGATTCTGGCATGTTATTTGCTCTTGTTTATTCTTCTTCAGAAGTAACATCAAACTACTCAAGGGTAGTTTTAAATGCTTTCACTCTTGGAAATAATTTTCCGAAGCCTCACGTAGCTGTTTTCTTTCGATATTTTCTATAACAGTCGTTTGATACTCGATATGTACTGTAGTTATACATCAATTTTATAATTAGCAGAGAGGCTTTATATTAGAGATTGTATTTCTTCTCTTTTTCCTTTTTGGATGGTAAGACATATAACTCCATAAATTTTTTTTTATGACAATTTTATTTAATGCAAACACTTGTTATATTTGGCAAACTCTAGTTTACTTATTCGAGTTACGAAAAAAAAATTCAATCTCATTAAATAAGAGAATCTCATTCTTATTTATTTTTACGTAAGAATATATTAAAATAAATGATGGTTTTGGAATAAAATGCATGGAAATAAATTGTATAATACTATAATTTTACTATTTATCCAGTACCGTTATAAAACAAAACAAAAAAACTATTTTTAGTACGGTGTTAAAAGTTAAAAATTTATAGACTTTACATTTAGAGGTAGAGAAATTGCATTGTACGTCTAAAATAGTCCTAAGATCCCAACTTAATATATATTGAGGTAATATCATGCATTTTAAACATGATAATGTTTGGAACCCGATGGCTTAATATTTTAATTGTGTACTTAATCATTTTGTTTTTGTTTTTGTTTTTATTTATTTATTGTCTCATTATTAAATAAAAAATTGATCTAATTTAACCAATTTAATCTGTATCGGATTTCCAAATTTTTTACTATCGAAGGAAATAACATGGATTCAATACATTTTCGCAAGAAAGTAGAATGGGTGCTTTGCGCGTTTAAAGGTTACCAATCTCGTAAGAAATCTACTTTCTCAGTTGGCCACTGGATTGAAAGGAAATTAGGAAGACTACCCGCTCACTGCACCCCACACACATAACAGAGAAAGTAGCAATCACTGCTAAAATGTTCAATACATTGATGTATTCTAGCGAGTATGAAAATAGTGTAAAATGAACCAGCAATCACTGATGTCTTTAAAAAAGTCACTACAGTTCAGGTTGTCAAAAAAGTAACCAAAAAAAAATTGCACATCTTCAGGGAATCAACCTTGATATCTTTGTCAGTATAAATGTGAATAAGTTTCATCGTACCCAAAAGAAAAGTTTTATCAGATATATAAATAATGAGGAGACAAATCATTCAAGGCCGCTGAAAAATGCAGATTTCTCTTTTAGGTCATGACTGGCCTTCCAGCCAAAAAAAAAAAAGTGCAAAATCTAATTAGGGCACTTGGCCCCAACTAGGGGACACAAGTACTTTGATGACCTACTTTATTCATGACTACTTAAACATTTTCACCTGGCGGCAATTCAGCCAGCTTTGGGGGAGTGCCAAGTACTCTTTCCATGTCATAACGAACTTCAATATTGCGAATGCTGTACCCAACAACCATCAACCAATAAAGCAGCTTGGCAAGTTCAGATGCACTAGTCTCTGTCACGCTAGTCTGTAAAATCGGAATCAAAGCATTCATGTCTCAAAAGGTAATATTTACAGTAATAGCAAACAAAGAGAAGGCTGTTCACTCCCTCGTGTAATCAATCACACATAGATACATAGATCAATTTGAAGAAATCTAGTTTTGGTTGCCTCAGTTTATACAAATAAAACAATTACTAATTTACCTAGTATCACATGACCAAAATATTAGTCAGGACTCGGAAATTTTGCCTCTATTCTTTAACTCAGTTCATACAGTTAAAGAGCACATGTTACAAGTTCAATCATTCAAAGTCACCACTAAAAAATATAAAAAAAAATAAAAAAAGGTAAAACAGTAAAACACCCTTATTTTATGTAACAGGCAAGATCAAAATAACAAAGAAGCAAACCTTCATTTGGCTAGGATCTGAAACAGCCAGCAAGCGCTTTATAAATGTATTCATAGCAAACACTACGTCCTCACCAGCACTACTAGTCAACTCCTGCACAATAAAAAGGGCTTGCTATGAATAAAGAGAAAGACTTGTATTGGTTAAGTTGAATAATCTGCATGGCAATGTCAAATGAAAAGTTACGAAAGCAAATATCACAATTATAGAGCACCCATGCATGTAAATCTACAACATTGGATACATAATTGTGATGATTTATATTAACATCAACAATACCTAGTTCTGAAAAAAAATAAAATAATGCAATGCCAGAATGTTCGAGACTGTTTCAATAATAGTAGATCATATAAAAGTATAAAACTAATCTCAATAAAAGCTACAGTACAGATCAACATGTGAAAACTTAAACAGCATTCGTCAGCTGGATTAAGAAAAGCAAGTATTTTTATATATTGATCAGTGGAAAATAGAACTAACCTTCAAATTTCGAGGCTCAAGAGATTTGAGGTATTCCAACAGTTCATTTTGTGCATTGCTAGATTGTCTCCCAACTTGACGACTCAGTTCCTCAATCTCTGCCTCAAGTAATTCAATGTACTTTTTAGCATCTATTTTTTCAGGCCCAGAAACATTGTTCCACCGAATGACTTCACCTGAAACATTCTTTTGTGTCCCAGGTGCATAGTCTGGCACATCCTGCAACATTTTATGAGCACAAATTAAAGAACGTACAAATTAAAGTATATTCGAATTTGCTTGGTGCCATATTGATGCAGTCCCCTAGTGGACACATTGTGGCCATTTAGCCATCAGAGCAACTTTTTAAAACCAAAATCCTGAGACTTAATCCTCTTAATCCTTAGGCTGAAACCAACTGGTAACGTACCCAAGAAAAAGTTTTTCCTTTTCTACTAGTCCAAACCAAAGATTAAAGAGTGTCCTTTGCAATTTTTAATTTCCTCTAAGTTGAACTGGAATGTTAATAGGGAAAGCTAGTAAGGATAGAAATGAGTATAACACATTAACACATCACATCCTTCCAAATATCCAAGCACTTAGATATCTTTGGAATCACAAAATGCTAAAAAGAGAAGTATTGGAGATCTGACATTCACTAGTAATATGAACAAAATAGATATAAGTGGGAGCAACCTCACCCCATGAGCTAGCTTTTGTTGTTAAGTTGGCTTAAACCCAAAATTTAAGATGATATCAAAATTTATTTTAATGGTTGTTGTTAGGCCTATAGAGTCAGTTGTTATTAGACCACCAATAGATGTCTAGTTCTACAAATTCCACATTGGAAATATTTAGCCCTTAGTGTAAGAGAAGTGTGTTAAGAAATTTCACACTAACTAATGATATTACCAAAATAGTATACATAAGTAGGGGGGAACTCTCACCCCATGAATTAGCTTTTGAGGTTTATTTAGGCTCAAACCAAAATTCAAGAAGAAAGAAAAATAATCTTACCTTTTTATCTTGCACATCCGGAAGGGCAACAACTTCTTCCAAACTTTCTTGCAACTCCAAACGGTATTGCGCATTCTTGAACATGTATCCAGTCATCATGACACTGTACATGAGCTGTGCAAGGTTTTCAGCTACCTAATAAAAAGCCAAATGATTCCACTAGATACGTAAGAAGCACAGACTATAGAGCATAATAAAATAAAAAGAAAATTTCAACCCAGACACATGGCTCAACATTGGTTTGTCAATTGAACCATCTTGTGCTAAAAATGTTACCAACACCAGAATAGCTGTTAGTACTGATAATACTTTTTGAATTAATTCAGACAAGTACCCTAGGGGGAAGAACTTATAAAAGGCTCTGAAATTGAGGTACAACACAACTACACAACTAGTTATAAACAAGGGAACTAAAATCACAGAAAAGGTAATAAGCATAATTTTTTATTTTTTCCAAAATCTTAAAACGAATAAGACTCCATGTGATATAAAGAGGGATAGTGATTAAAAACACAAATTTCGGGGACAAGTACATCGGGCAAAGCAAAGCCTACACTCTAAAGAAACATTTCATCAAGTCCGCCAAGAGGATAGCTATCCAACCAAAATATAACCATCATAGCTTGCTGATTTGCTTATTATAAAATGGTGGTAAAAGTTAAGCAAGCAAAGAAAAACCTCAAAACATCTTACAGTGGTAATTGTTACGGAAAAAAATTGAGGGGGCAGTGTTCCAATCATGTTTGTCACTGTTTGTCGCATAGCATCCACAACCTAATCACCAACAGGAGTTTCATTCACTAAGACGGTATGCCATGAAAAAGATAATAGCCGCTTTTACTCAGCAATCAATTAACAGTAGTCAGATAACTGTGCATCGCAGGACACCAACATACCTGTTGAGGCGCTCTTTTCACAAACAATTCCATAAATTCTGGCTGCACGTTCTTAACATATTCCAGTAAAATTTCTCTCCTGCTCTTTGACTTCAAAACATTTAATCACTAGTCAGATAACTGCTCATACAAAGGTAGTGGGTACTTGTTCCTTGAACAAATAATTTTGAACACAGACCCTAGAGCATATAACGATGAAGAAGCTTAGGTTTCATATATTTTGCATCGGTAACAGTTCCAGGTAATGTCTCGACAATAAACAAAATTGGAAGAAATTTATGAAAGATTACATTGAGTCACTGATTCAAAACCACACTAAGCAGTAGAGATAGATACACACATGAATGCACACGTCACCAACATAGGAGAGTTTTCGGATTATAAATGTATATGTTCATTCACTGATTCGGGGGTCGCACTAACCTATTCCAGTAGCTTTTCAGTCAAAATTCATAAATTGATTTTTATATTATACTAATAAGGCCAAAAAGAAGAGAGATAGGGGTAATATTGAATTTGAAACATTAAGAAGAAGAAGTACCAAAGTGCCATTGGGGGGTTTGGAGTCGCCAGCACTGGTAGGGTTGGAAGCGTCATTATTGAAGGAATCATATGCTTCAACTCTGAGACCAAATCTTCCTCTGTGCTTTAAATCTCTGGGAAAGCAAATTGATGAGAGCGAGCGAGATGGAAAGGACGCGAGAGAAATTGAAGAGGAGGAAGTAGAGGTTGAAGAAGAAGAAGAATAAGGTATTAAGAAGGGTTTGACTGTCAAGGAATACATGATCAAATAGTTATTTCCGCTATCACTGATTTCAGAGTTGGCCTTGGAGCATCGGCATTCTTCTGCTACCTGGGGAATGGGGATGAGGTTCACACGTGATTTTGCACCTGCCACGTACCGATAAAAACATTTACCAATAATTTTCTTACAACACTATCTCTCGAACTTTTAGTAAATTTTTATTTTCATTTATTATATTTTTATTTATACTTTCATATCTTATTCATTTTTTAATTAATTTACACATATTTATTTATTATGAAGCAAAAACAAAAGAGGTATAGTAAAAGACATTAAAATCATTTTTATAACAAATAGGATAATTTATATATTATTTATTATGTAAAACAACTTTAAAAGATTATTATAAAATAATAGAGATAATATATTAAATTAAATTAAGTTTGTTATCACATTCTTTAGATCCCGTTTGAACTTGTATTTTGACACCTCGTTATTAAAATGTTATTTTAGTGAACATATTTAGCCAAGTAGATTTATAAAAATGAAATGTCTTTCTAAGTTTTTGCTTACCATTAATTTAGTAAGTAGAATCTTGTGTCATATTAATGAATTTTGACTAACAATTAATGTTTTGTTTGAAAATTTCAACATCATTACTTTTTATGCCGTTGGTTTAGAGTGTCATCCGTTACTACAATTATCATTCATTAAAAAAATAATATTTATTGAAATTGTTTATATTAAATTCTTAAGGAAAGTGTGAGATGTATTAATCCACTCTTATAATATAAATTAGTGTTATGTCGCAAGAATATGCCATTATTTTTATTAAAGTTAGGTATTATATATATTATATAATTCTTTTTTATTTTTATTAATACATGAAAATATATTTGTATTTAAGTAATTGAAATAAATATAAAGAAAAAAAACCCAGAATAAAAATATTTCATAAAAAATGAACATTTTCCATCTTAATATTTAATATTTTAATTTTAGATTAAAAATAAACAAAAAAATATTGAATATTATCACAATAGCATCAAAATAGTTTTTTAAGATTTCAAAATAAAAAGGATAATTTGAGTGCAAAAAAATAATAAAAGTAACACTATAAATTTTTAATTATTGACTTTTAGCAATAATTATGTATTTGGTACTCAAGGTGTGTTGTGGAACTCTGAGAGTTGAAGAACTTTCAAGAGTCTAGTTAGTTAAAGGGTCTCTCGCCAGAGGTCTAATTGATCTGAAGAAGAAAAGTATATAAGGTTTCTATTAAAAATTAAACTTCATAAGTTCATGTTCTTTAGAACCTAAAGAGAGGATTCTAGTGAAATAAGTTTTGGTTCCAACTTTCTTTCTTTTATTTTCTTCCTCCTATATTTTTTCAATGCGTGAGGATTGATTGTTGGACAATGGATCCAAAGCATTCGAAGGCTGAGAATTAGAGTTGGCGTGTGAGGTTGAGTGCGAAGCTCGAAAGCTCAAAGTCATTCATTCTTTTCTTCTCTTTTCTCAGTTTAGCTTAGAGTCAAGGTAAGAGAAGTTAGGAAAAATTCATGTTGGATTTGTTGTGTAGCTCATATTGTATGTTTTTTTTATTAGAAATAAAATGTGTATGGTTTGATTATATTATAGATAGTATGGGGAATGTTTGAGTTTTGGGGTTTTGGTTCATTGGTATAAATTTTTCAACAATTTGGTCTCTTTTGCAGTTGCATGTTGTTATTTTAGTGCGAAATGAGTTGTTGAGAATGTGTATGTATGAGTGGATAATTTGCATGTTGGATTTTATGGATTTCAAGTGGATTAAGGAAATTTTTGAAGTCTACAATTGCAAACTTCTAATGTCGTGTTGGACTTACCTTCGTGACATTAGGCGTAGTTCCAACTAGGGGTCTTAATCTCGTCCACATCGAATGTATAATAAATGCCATTAAGCATGAAGAGAGAGACTTATCTCAGATTGGGATGACGTCAGGTGTGGTTTGAATGGTACCGAGAGTGAGAGCATTGGAAAGTCTTTGACTTGGTGACGTTGACTCCCAATTTGGGTGGTATCAAATTGGGTGGCATCAAGTGTGATAATGACAGAGACTCTTTGTCTAGACGACACCAGGTGTAAGGTCCCAAGAATTTCCTACCTTAGTCACATCGAGCGCGAGTTGAGTGATGTCGAACATAAGCAAGACAGAGTTCTCTGACTTGATGATATATGTTGTTTGATGGGTGAATTGGTGAACACAAATAAAGTATTTGGGTATATTACATGTTGCATGATATATGATGGATGTTGAGTCTACATATATTGATTTGTGATTATATATATATATATATATATATATGTGTGTGTGTGTGTGTGATAGGATGTGTTATGGTGTCAAGCATTGATATGTCATTAATGATTTTATGCTATAAATTGCATGGTTGGAGTGTTAAATAAGTATTGATATACTATTATTGGATAAGTTGTTGAGAATTTGTATGCTAGTTTTGGATGAGGTGTATAACATTGGTATGCTAATTATGATTGGTGTGATTTTATCTTTATATGCATTGATTTAAAGTAATGTATATAGATGATGTATGTTGAGACGTTGATGTTAAGAATGTTATAAACATTAAAATATGTTGATTAGCCTAGAGTTAGAGGAAAAAGAGTTGCTTGAAAGTTGAAGATCCTATATAGGAAATCTTGTTTTGGTGTTCTGGGAGGCCAATTGTTGAAAATCCTAATTGAGTAGGTGTGAAACTCTTGTAGTGAATTTTGTTGAGTCTCCTTTAGGTCATTAGTCAATATGGAGCAAAATATGAGTTGAGGACCGTAACCCTTAACTAGTTATTGGAAAAGTTGTGTGGTTTGTTACCGATAATTAGTTTGCTAATTCTGTATGTGACTTGGTAATGTATGTCAAGGTCATGGTATGCTTATAGGAAAAGTCATGGATTGATATCCCATTTTAGTTATCGATCCAGTGAGCGCATTGGGCTTGAAAGTGATCAGGTCGATTTAATAGAATTAAGTTACTTAAACTGTTTAGTCGTCTTAAAAGATCTCTGCAAACAAATACGTGATGATGCAGTAGTTAAGAGATATGCATATGACAACATGCATAACATGTTATATATGTGTGTTTATATATATATATATATATATATATATATATATACACACACATATGTCCATTACATATATAGTTATTATTGAATATATAACTTTAAGTAGTATATTTTTTTGTTGCTAATTGATATTATACAAAGTATAACGATTATGATAGGTTGTCACACTAAAAAGATGAGTTTAATTTGTATTTTATATATTTAATTGATTATTTTGATAAAAAATAATTAAAAAATTAATAGTCAGAAACAAGTTATTTTTCAAAGTTGTCATTACAAGGTAGATTTAGTGGAAAACAAACGCTATATTTAGAATAACAAAAATTAATGAACTAGTAAAAGGATAGGATGCTTTATTTTGTAATTTGTTTAAAATGATTTACATTCTTGTCCTCCAAGTTAGGAATATAATATTGGATTTTGAATCAACTTTTTTTTTTAAATCATAAAATATTCAAATATTAGAACATTCTTTTCCCCATTTCATTGTATTCCAATCACTATTTTAAAATTTCTTCAAGTGATTTTTAAAATATATAAAAGTACTTTATTTATTTTCTTAAATTTTATAAAATCAAAAATTATTATTATCAGGTTATAGTTATAAAAATACGTTTATTTAAAAACAAACTATAACTGCAGGTTTTCAAAAATTGCTCAAAACAGTTTTTTTTTAAATAATTAATATTCTATTTTTTCTTCAGCATTCCTTTTTCTCCAAGTTAGGAATATAGTACTGAACCAACTTTTTTTTCCATAAAATATTCAAATAATAACTCCATTTCTTTCTCGGTGTTAAAAAAAATCTTCATTTCTTTAAATTAAAACAATTAAAGATGTATTTTATATTTCTAACAGATTTTTTCAGAAGTATAAATAAATATACTATAAACTTTTAAAAGAGTTATTTATATGAGTTAATAACTTATATACAATCAGTATAAAATTTTTTACACTGAAAATTAATTATCTTTTAATTATATCATGTCATTGTTAAAAATAAATGTGTTTACAGTGATATGATACAATTAAAGAACATAATTAGTTGTCAATGTAAAATTTTTTTATACTAACAATGTATAAGTGATTAACTTTATATATATATATATATATGAAAAATACAATAAATTTATAACGCCCATTATTGAATGGTTTATTATTAAAAACTATTAATAGAGTAAGATAATTATTCAGTTAAATAAAAAGGTGTAAAAGAAGGGTTTTGAGCAGTAATGGAGGCAAAGTTGTTAATTAGGCGAAAGCGAAGCAGCGTGGGAAGAAGACAGTGTTTGTTAAAGACAGTACACGTGCGAGGGAAATGATGCAAAAATAACAAAAACAGATAGATAGGTACCAGTTAGTGACTGAGCCAGAGAAGAAGGAAACTACTCCCATTCCTACTCTCTACTCTTTCCTATTAACATATCAATCCATTCCTCTGCTTCGCAGATCTATCACACACCACGCCCGATTATTTCTATATATAACTTTAACCAACATGGATTTCTAATCGTTTCATCCGATTCGTCGCCAGAAAGAGAAATGGCACATCAGCGGCGGCGCCACCATTATTACCAACGCTTCCGTCTGATGATTCCGGTCATTTCCGCCGTCGGCGCCGCGCTGCTTTTTCTCTTCGCTCTCCTTTCGTTTTTAGCTCCTTCTCCCGTCGAAACCGATCGTATGCACCGGAGACGCCAGCCAACTTCGGTACTCTCTCTCTCGCGCGCGCTATTTAATCTCAGTATCTGATAATTCGAATAATTGATCGTAAATTTTTCTTCGTTTTTGTTTTCTTTTGTGTCTGAAATTGTTGTGTGCAGATTAACATTCACGCGGATGAGGCGATTGGAAATCATCATCCTGTGTTTCGCGTTCCGGTTAGGGCTTTTATTTGAATTTGGTGTTGGTTCCGCCTTTCTCTTATTGGATCTTGATTCCGTAGACGTGTGTTTTTTGTTTTAATTTAATGATGATAATGACTAGAGTGACGGAGGAAAGTTGGGACGTGATATCTGGAGCTCTCGAAATTCAGAGCACTTCTTCGGCTGTAGCAATTCCAGCAGCAAGTTTCAAAGTGCGTATAATTGTTTGTTCATTATTGTGGAGTGATGCGATGTATAAATGTATGATAATGACGGATAACTGCTTTGTGTGGCAGACGCTCAAGCGATTACACAATCGAATCGATACTTGTTGATTGCAACAAGTGGAGGCTTGAATCAACAAAGAACTGGGGTAATTCTCTGGACTCTGGAGATTATTATAGACAAGCAAGAATACGATATCGGTTTTTCGTTTCTACTGTTACAAAATTTGTGTTTCGTAGTCTTTTCTTTAAACTTATAGTAAATAAAATGTGAAATGAACTCAAAATAGTGCAGGGAAGGGGGGTGGGGGAGGGGGTGCATCTGCTGCCTCTATTGGACTCTGCTGTAGATTGAATTTGTCAAATAAAATAAACTTGTTCTTGCAGTTGTAAGTAATGAGACATTTAATGAATAAAGGGACTATCTTGCGTCTCTATCTACTAATATCTTTTTGGAAATTCCTATTGTTTGTATCCATGGAAGAATTATGTCCCTTACGTTTTTAGATTGTAGCTGCTTGGCTTTGGAATACAAAAAAGTCTCCGTAAATTGTTTGCTGCAAAGCCTGGAGTATGGAAACCTGTAAATTTATTTTAGTTACAAAGCAAATCAAGATAGTACACTGATAACTGTTGTTGGATTGCTAACTATCTGCATACTCTGCTATTAATGCCAATCCTTCTGTTTCTGCAACTGGCAGATTACAGATGCTGTTGTTGCTGCACGAATTTTGAATGCTACTCTTGTTGTTCCAAAATTGGATCAACGATCTTTCTGGAAAGATTCTAGGTCAGTTACATAAGGAGCACGGATTGCATGAGCTATGTCTGCACTTTTACAATTGTCATTTGATTTTGATTCAAGTATTGTAAAATGATGACATACTTTGCCTTTTGCAGCAACTTTTCAGAGATCTTTGATACTGATTGGTTTATATCATATCTGTCAAAAGATGTCAAAATTATCAAGCAACTCCCCAGTAAGGGTAGGAAAGCATTATCTGCATATAATATGCGAGTTCCAAGGAAGTGTAATGAAAGGTGTTATATAAATCGCATATTACCTGTACTCGTTAAAAAGCATGTAAGGTTTTTATTTCCTGAAATTACTACTGGTGCTAATGTATTGTACAACTCATTAGATTCTCTCCGTTAAGTAGTTGTAGGAAGTTTATAAATGCTTTTAGATTAAGGGCTAGAATCCAAATCTTTATGAGGTAGATATTATAGTAAGTCTATTTAGATTGATGAAATACTTTCATTTTAATGAAATGAACTTTTCAGCATTGGGTAACCAATCACTTGAATGCGGAGTCTGATAAATTTTAACCCCATGTGTATAATGCCTAATGTATCTTATGAGTCAAGCTAGGTTATCTCTCCTCCTTTTCTTCAATTTGATATCTTATCTAAAAAAATTCTACATGCCAAGCAATCTTATTTGCAAGATTCATATCCCCCCCCCTCCTTCCCAATAATACGCCTAAAAGAAAAATTAGACAATAAAGATAGCATTCACAGTACCTTTAGGAGCCATAGGTTTGATCCGTGTTAGCCATATTCCATTGCTGAGGAAGCGTGCCTTATTATTCAAATTTCAAACATTGAAGTCCCCAAATTTTAGAGGACTTAAAATCCATGTTTCTAAAAATTTCACTATTTTTATTTTAAAAAAAATTGTTCAGAATGGGACATTTTGTGTTCTTGAAATTGCAAGATATTTTCAGGAAGACATGAAAGCTCTAGTTATTCAGTTCCAACTGTTGCCTTTTTTTTTTTTTTTTTTAAGGTTTAATAATCAAGTAATTAATGCCTTAAATTCTGATAGCTTTTTCTGATCACGATATAAAATTATAAATGGATTGCTATTTGAATGTTTGATTATCCAGGAAATGTATTTATTTGCTTCATTTTTATGGCAGGCTGTTCAGCTGAGCAAATTTGACTACAGGCTTGCAAACAGGTTGGATACGGATTATCAGAAGTTGAGATGTAGAGTTAATTACCATGCCTTAAGATTTACCAACCCAATACTTGCAATGGGTGAGAAATTGGTCCATCGTATGAGGATGAGAAGCAATCATTATATTGCACTGCACCTAAGGTATCCTGATTGATTTTTGGTCCTTTTATTCTCTGTATCTATCCCATTCAATTCACATGATCTGGTATCAATTAGATTCTTCAATATGACAACCATTACATCTCTAGAATATACAATTATACAGTGTCATACCTATGTTGGGATCCATGTTTTCAGTTAACAATAACTAGTGTACAAATGCGTGTCAAAACTGGATAATTTTTATGCTGCTGTAATACATGCATATAAACTTACGTACATCCCTGCTGTTATCCCTTATTTTTGAGATATGAGTATATTCTCTTGTATCTGTTAGTTGTAACTCACTGCTGAGTAAATTCAGAAGACTTTTTTTTAAAACCAAAATAGTCTTTTAAAATTTCAATCTTAATACATTTCCCTTACTGTAATCCAATAGATTTAAAAAAAATAATGGATGGAGCATTATCCATGCATAAAATTAATGAATGGATTGAATGTAATCCATCATATTATATTTGTATAATGGATGAATTGAATAGGTGATGGATAAATGGATTGTTTTGTCACCCCTACCATTTACTGCCTCACTATTTATTACTGGGGTCCTAACATATTTTCCATTATATCTAGGACAAGGAGTGCACAAAAAATCCGAACTGATAAAAAATGATCTTATCCAGAAATAAAAACCAATCTGTTTTGAGAAAAAACTGATCCTAACCACTTTATAAAAACAGTTCAGTTAATTGAACCATTTTATTTCAGAATTATCATGATAAGCTTTGATACTGGTGTCTCATATAGCAGTGTGTTTTTTCTGTAAAATCCTAAAAACTGAACTTTTATAAAATCAATATCAATTATTTGTTGCTGGTTCAAGACCACACAAAGCCCTCTGGTCTACTTTTAAGTTATGTTTTTCTCTGTTCCAAGACTGTTAGTGTTTGGAATAGGAACCCGAGATGGAAATAGAAAAGATTGAAGCTGAAACAGAACAAGGAGAATTACTGCTCCTCCAAGGGTTACTTACCCCTTCACAAAGAACTCCTTTCTCAGAATGCTTTATTTTAGGGATGGCAAAACGGGCCAGCCCGGCCCGTTTTGGCCCGGCCCGCCATTGGCCCGCCAAAAACGGGGCGGGCC